CCCCAAAACCCCAAAACCCCAAAACCCCAAAACCCCAAAACCCCTTGGCTGGAAATTAAGACTGAAATTGTGATTGAGGTAGTTTAGTAGTCTAGAATTTAGAACAAAATATTACCACTGTACATCTTTTGGAAAATACTCTTCTCTCCTCTGGAGGTTAGTTTGTTTTTGTGCCTGTCGATGAATTCTTTGAATGGATCGATGTCTGTTTTGGTCGTATCGATTGAAAATGGGTTCTTCCTGAATGCGTTGTACTTGTTCTTCTGATCCATGTAGTCCTGGTGAGCTCTCTTTGTAATGTCTCCAAGCTCTTCAAGTTCCTCGCTCCTGGATTTTTCTGTGTAGTCCATTGACTCTTCAGTGATTCTCTTATTGGGCAAGAAAGTGTGGGATTCAGGCGAGCAGAGATTGCTGACATGTTTAGAGCTCATTTGGTTGTTATGAGAATGGCTATTTTTATGGGCGTGGTAAGTTTTCTCATCAGATAATGCAATTTCATTATCTATAAAAGTACTCATGTCTTCTCTTTCATTTCGGATCGGTGAGACTTTAAAATTATGGTTTCTTTCTTTTATCTTCATTACTGGACTGCCAAGATTTTGCCCTTTTTGGTTAATCAGTATTGATGGTACTTGCTCATGCTTTCTATGAGGTCTCTCTGTATTAATTCCTTTCTCTTCTTCTCTGCTTGTATTCATTCTTAAATTTCTCTCTGACCCTTCAGTACCTGCAAGGAGATCATTAGTCTTATTCATTTGTTTCTTTTCTAGAATTTTCTTCTTTCTCGCCTCTCCCAAAAAGTCTTTAATGATTTCCTTCTGTTCACCCTGATCAGGGTGTGATTCAAGGTCAAGGTCAAAAGTATCATTCTTCTCTTCATGGTAATAGAAAGGCTTTCGATTCATTTGGTTATAAACCTTGCCAAGATGAGGTCCATTTTCAAAATACTTTCGGCCTGTCTGCCTTGGTGGGTATCCATCAAACAGGATATGCATATCTTCGAGCAGGCCGATCATGTGCTCTCTACTTCCTTTAGAGATTTCTCTTTCAGACCAAGTGTATTTTTGGGACATACTCTTTTCTTTCTTGAGCACTTCTAATGCCTTCCTTAAGTTACTGATTTTGGTGCTCTCGCTCTTTGGATCTGCAAAAACTCCAGGTAGTTTTATGTTGAATATAAATTGAACTAATCTTCAATACAATGTTCCATTCTTCAGATCTTCTTCAATTTCGAGTAAGCTGGTAGGAGGCACTTTATAGCTCTTCAAGGCTCCACAACTATGTATCCAGTTCAAAAGTGACGCTTCCAAGGCAACTAACTCTTTTGGGAGGTATGGAAGGGTGTTTTCAAGGTAAGCTAGATGCTCCCGAGGCAATATATCTGGGTATAAGTTTCTAAGGCAGTCCAAAAGACCCCAAATATTTGCATGGTCTCCTTTAAGAACCATTTCACGATTAGCTAAGAAATTTTGTGGAATTCTCTCCTTCAAATGCTCGATTTGTTCTCAAATAGCAAATGCTTGGTCAATATTATCTCTTCAATCTTTCATTGTTTTAGGTGAAAATCAGATGCTGAAAAGCTTGATGTTCTCGAGGAATCATAAAAGCTCACAGAAAAGAATTCCATTCCTGACAGGGTCATCTAGTAAGTCCTTGGTGCCATCTGGGATATAAGAATGGAAGTTAATTCTCCTCAGCCATTGCTTTGTTTTCTCTTCCTCAGCTTTACTGATCCTTTTGCATTGATATTTGATTTTACTATCATTTGAGTAGTCAAGAGTCATGTTGGCAAGCGCAAATCTAGAATAGATTGGGTAACCATCCTTGCTCTTCCCAATCATATTCGAGTTCTTCTTCCTAGGAGGCTTCATTGACTTCTTTGTTCTCTTGCTCCTCTTCAATGAGGAAGTACTCTGATGATTCGGTCTGAAAGTAGGACTCTGCTTAGAACTATTTACTATATACAAGTTCTTTAATGAGTTTTTAGATGAACTATATCCCTTTTTCGAAGCTGAATTCCTGCTTAAATCCTTCTTCTTTTTAGCAGAGCTATAGGAATTTCTCCTAAACCTATCATGACTGAAACTAATATTGGAAATATTGTTCTGAGCTTTTGGAATGTTGTTATGTCTCACATCTCTTTTAGTTGAAGATTCATATGCTCCAATGTCTTCGTGGTCAAAAGCTGTGTTGGTCTCAGGAGAAACCTTCCTGGATCTCTCATCATATTCATTATTCATAACTGGGTCTTGTTCATTATAAATTCTTATAGTCCTTTCCTCTTCATTGGACTCATAATTCTTTACCCCATAACTTGCAGATCTGAAGCTTGAGTTTACATTGTCAGATTTCAATCAGGAATTAATATCATTTCTTTTGTTCCTTTTTGACTGATCGGATGGGGAAATTTTGTTTTGCTTCCAGTACCATATATCCTCAATGAAACCCCAAATGACATCATTGTTTCCTTCCATCATTAGGTTCTCAGACCAGAGATATCTTGAGTTCATTTTTGGGAACTCTCTGAGATAGCCCAATACTTTGGCATAATTAGCATTGATACTAGATACATTCTTAGGATTTCTATGAACTCCTTTTAATACCTGATTTCTCCCGCTTAGCTTGTTAACCAAATCAAAGAAGATAACTCCGTTTCTTCAGAACTGGGGAAACTCCTGGATTGCTACCGCGTTTTTCCTGATAAGATTGATGCTTTCAAGCCATTTCAACAACTTGATTTTCGATTTTGGATTAACTTGGTCAACTTGGACATCATCCTGAATCTCCCTTGACCTAATTCTTGCAGTATTTTGTGTTTTCTGTGTATTCTGTGTCTTCAGCATCTGATTCTCCTCTAAATCTCTATCTGCAGGCCTGACAGTAAGACTTCTCATTTCACTGATAATATCTTCTTCAGATTCCCCTGCATCCTTTACAATTTTGTTGTTCTTAACAGGGGTTGGCCTCAAAAGACTTCTTCTCTGGGGGCGGTGGGAATTATTCCTTTCTGTTCTCAAAGGCTTATTTCTTTTTGGCCTTGATCTTCTCTGAGTACTCACAGTATGATTCATGTTCTTACTCAAAGCGTCATTCTTGCTCTGGTGAACTTTCGGTGGCTCAATCTCGTCTATAATTTGATCTTCAGGTCTGGATGGTTCTATTATTTTCCTTCTAGTTCCATCTTCTCTTCTCCATACTAAGTCTAGCATTGGGAGAGTAACTTGGGTATGGTGGTCTAAGTGTAAGTCAAAGAAGTTGAATTCTTCTATTATTTCTTTCCTACTCTTGGAGTTCCTGCGAGAGGGCTTTCTCTTGCTCTCAAACATGTGCCTCATTGGAGAATCTGCTGAGATTAAGTCTGTATTATACCTATCTCCCTCTTCAATCAATTTCTTATGCTTTTGAGCTTTATAAGTGGTCATTGGGAGATCAGAAGGCTTGACCTTATGTCTCTTCCGACTGCCAGAATCTTCTCTTTGAGATAAAGCCTGAACCTTTATCTCTTTAAGAGGTCTATCTTCCTTAGAATTGAGATCTTCAATACTAAATAGATTCTTTCTATCATGACCAAAGGGATTGTTAGGGTCATTATTAGTCTCAGCGTTTGTCTCACCAGCCTCTGTCTTTGAAGCCTCTGGATTAAAGGAATGATAATTTGGAGCAGGAGGTTCTGTATAAACTGTAGGAGCTTTATGACCACTCATGCACTGAGAGTTGTCTCTCTCCAAAGTATCTACGAAATAAGGTTGTCTGGGATAGCTCACAGGATCTCTGTTGTATTCCACAATGTCTGATATATTCATCTGGTTTGGTGCTTGATAAGTATTTCCTCTATCTTGACTACTAAACATGCTAATTTGGTCATGGAGAGCGAAGTTATAGTCCTTAGGGGTCGAACTCGCCATCGAATCACGCAAAGGAACAGGCATATTTGAGTCATTAATGAATTTTGTAGGATCAGATATTTTAAAATTCTGATGGCTCCTCGATTGCATTATTCCCATCCTGGGTAAAGGAGGTGGCTGATTATTGGTTCCTGGATTTATCATATTATTATGATATCATCCATAGATTTCTTCATTACCTGGGCTTGGCTCTTCTAGATTTGAATTGAAGAAATTAGAATTGCTAGCAGCCATATTATTCCGCTTAAGCTCCTCCTCTATTTCCCTTATATCATTAATTTCATCATCCTTGGCTTCATTAAGTGAATCATAATTATTTGAACTCTCTTCTTTATGCTTTAAATTCTCTTGGTTTATAACTCTAAACTCCTCTCAAGCGTCAATGGGTTGATTTTGTTGAATATCATTCATCTCAAAATTATCGGATTCTCTCTGACTCTCTTCACTTAATTCCACAGGTCCACCGTAGGAGTTTCTATTCATCCGCTCTATTTCAGCAGCTATATGAAGATTTAATAAATCTATACAAAAAGTCCCACAAAAACGGGGAATGGGATGACTTACTATCATTTTGGACAATGAAGTTAAGGTCTCTGAGTATCTTTAAAAAGCGAAAGACTTCTTCGTCATCTCAATATACGAGTTCAGGGTTGAGGTTGAAATCCTCCCAAATTTCTGCTATTTCTCTGCACGCTAGTGTGATGTTGTATATAGATGCGTTGTCATCATTTGTATCCATAATTACAGAGCTTAGGAAATTATTTGCATTGCCTCCACCCTTTATAAAATCTGCTATCAGACAGAACAGGACTCCATTCTTGAAGGATAATGAGGAGTTTGCTTGCTTACATTCTGGAATCTCAAGGTTATTCACCCACTCGATTAACTCTTTTCGCTCCAGTAATGATGTTGGTTTGTCATGGTACGCTATTTCTTCCTGCCATTGTTCTATACCCAATTAAATACCTCTCAAATTATATCAAAATAAGTGTCTAAAGACATGTTTTAATCCCAGAAATAGCAATCCAAAGCTTATTTTCCCTTATAAACCCTCCTGAGGACCACTAAAAGAGTACTTACGTTCACTCATGATTGCTGTTCAAATATTTAATTTAAATATTCAATTTAAATTATTTTTTGAGGGGTTTTGGGGTTTTGGGGTTTTGGGGTTTTGGGG